TCATATGGGTAGAAAAAATATAGTTGCTGCACAAACAAACAAAAAAATAGTTGCTGATATAGAAATCCACATTGGCATTTTTGCTGATTTGGCATACATATGGGACTTTTCAGTCAGATTTAATGAACTTTCCACCCAAATTTATTTTTTAGTAGCAAATCATAAATTCAGCAATTTTAAATTTACAAAATTAGTAGGAAAAATTAGTAAGTTTGATGACTATATGGGAAATTAACTAACAAATAGTATCCCTCAAGGATCATGAAAGCAGCAGGGTTGGGGTGAATAAAAGTATAATTTACAAGTTTATCCGAACTCAGTAGTTAGCTTTGACTCGAATATTTATCATCCAACTGGTGATAAACGGATTCGTAAGTTAAACTCAGAGTTCGTCTTCTTGAAAGGACATGAAACTAGGGTGCATTTGGTTTCTAGTCTCCTCCTTCCAAAAACGAAACTTATGAGATTATAAGAGAGTCAAATTATCCAATTTTTCCATTTTAATTTTGATATATAAATTTTTTAAAACTCTTTTGACATACACGCACACACAAACTACTTAAAAGGGTAGTAGTATTATTGTATACGGGTGAACTCGGAGTTAGCACACACCCCGAGTTCCCGTGATCAAACGAAGTAAGAAGTATGAATGTATGAGATAGAGACCGAATCCGCGAACTCTTTGAATCAAGAATGGAACGGGATGCTCGCCACCGGGCCTGACAAGACAACACCCCCCGAACCCGGAACGAACTCCGAGACCTCAAAAAGCACTACAAACGGTTGCACACGACTAACAGAGGGCCGTGATATCCGCGTCCAACCGGATATCACGGCACGGATCTCGCCCGATGTCGGTAGCATATCATTAATTGATGTACAAGGAGGACTTTTACCTTTTTTAGAATTGTACTAGGGGCAAAAATTTTCTACTATATAAAGGGGAAGTTTTTGATTCAATACATACATGGTAACACGCTTATCAAGGTAATACAAAATTATTTCTCTATTGAAAGGCTCTTATTTTAATCATAATTCTAAATCACATTTGGGCAAGTTCTAGAACTTCCGCACAAGTACTCGAACTAGCAACAAAGCATCTCACCCCTCACACAACAAGATTATTATAGAGGATAGAGTTGAGGGCCCACAACGATCACATTCAAGATTGAAAATCACTATGGTTCAATAAAACCACTCGATGATTGCCTAAGTCAACACAAGAGTCACAAAGTCACTAACTAGAGCTATTTCCTTTTAAAAATCCTTGACTCTAATCATAAACACGTAGTTAGATGTGTTGACTCTTCGAGTTTGAATTAATCAGATCTTTTTATTCATTATTACTACTATTACTACCTAGACACCAAAGATGGACTCAATCCCTTAAGAAGGTTGTCACACCATCCATCATTAGGAAGCGTCACCCGGTTCACACAAAAACTACCTTTGGAAAGAAATGTGGCATTAAGAAAATCAAAGTCTTATTGTCCACTAAAGCATAAAAAGAAGCTACTAAATTAAACACTACCTAATAAGAAAACATAAATAAATAAGCTATAAAGAAAACTACTGAAAGCATAACGAATATACATAATGAGAGAGGAAAAGAGCGAATATATACATCATAAGAGAAAGGAGAGAATATATACAGGATAAGGAGAAAAAAGAAAATACTGTCAGTTATTACAAACCAAATGTCTCAAAATCATCCAAATAGATCAAATAAACTCCACCCCCTCGAATAAAAGTAAGCGTTGTCCCCAATGCTTAACAAAATAAGAGTAAAGGAAAGGGTAAGAGTGAAGAAGACTCCCTATGTCACCTTGGACATCTTTGTGTCCCCAACAATGTCACCGCCCTCAATCACCTCTGACAGGATCTCATCATCCTCGACTTTGGGAGTAGCTGGGTTGGTGAACTTCTGGCGTACTGGCCAGCTGGTGCCACTGGAACTGATGGTGCTGAAAGAGCTGGATCTATCAACATGTCAAATGGAAGATCTCCAGCTGCTGCAATCTTGATCACATCTGTCCGCAACCTGTCAACTGATTTCTTGGATGCCTGGGATTTCCTCATTTTCTTTACTTATTTTCCCAGCTCCTCAATCACTAATCCATGCTCTACCAAGGTGTTCATTGTGGTGGTATGGTTCTCCAAGAGCTTCTTCAAAGACTCATCCACCATCGGAGGAATTTGGGGTGCCGGAATGGATGACTGCGCTGCAACATTACTGGATTGTCAGACAACTTTGCAGTGGCTATCTCTATCCAGTTGTTGAGGCTTGCCAGTGTCTAGGAGACTCGCATCATAGATAGTGGATAAGTGGTCATAGGTACTAGCTTCAAAGCCGAGGTGGAAGGCATTGAGGCTGAAGGTGGGGGCATGACAGTTGTACTGGCTGAAGGCTCTGCTGAAGAGGATGGCATATCAGCTGTCTGTATAGGTATCACCTATAGCTCATCAGACTGGCCAATAGTGGTAGTAGGCTGACCCTTTCTCTTAGGGTTGTGCGCATTCATCAGAGAATACCATGAGAAGGGCTTCTTCACCCGCACCTTCGTATCAAAATCTTTTGGCTCCACCCGTGCATATATAAAGTACTCAGTGATGGTGTTGGGATACGGGTAGGAGGTGTCAGCTTGCCTGGTGACCATAGACATATTGGCCGATATCACGGCACCCATATTGATCGGGTACCCAGAAAAAAAAAAGGCGACTAGAACTGCCCCCTGAATAGGAAGATTAGTTTCATTCTGGCATGAGTGTAGTCTATTGCATACAAAAGGCTGCCATCCCTTTTCCTCGAAGTTCAGGGCGTTCCGATGAATAGGAATCCCTGCTGTGATCCATGGGGGTGGTGGCCCCAAGGTTGCAAGAATCTTAGCTTGCCAGGGACGGGCTGCCTCCCTGAGTGCACACTTCTCCATGACTGTGTGGGCTCGACATCCTCAAACCCCAAGTAGGTGTTCAGTATGTACTGGTCAAACTGCACCTTCAGATTCCTCACTCTTGTAACTTTGGTACCTTTATTATGTGCGCCATATTGGCATAAAATTCTCGGACTAGATACTTCTTTGTGTCCACTACACTCTTGGTGAACCACATCCACCCCTTCCGCTCTTGGAACTGCCTCAAGACTGCCGAATTGTCCTTATAGAGGTCTTTCAATTGGAACTTTCATTCAAGAGTGAGCTATCTTGTTGGCCACCACTCACGAAAACTGTAGAAAGCAGCCAAACTAACAAATCTGTCTTCCCAGACCTTTTTCTTCTTTGACCACTTAAGGCCGACAACTATACTATTACCCCCTAAGCCATTATCCAGAATCTCATCAACTGAAGTCGATGGTGCCTTAGGGACAAGTGTAGAAGAAGGCTCTAAATCCTAACTGGCAAGCTTCGAACCCTAGGAGGTGCTCTGAGTTGTGGAAGGCTCGTCTTGTAGTTGATACCTTCCTGGAGGCTTTGATTATACAACCGACTGCTCTTCAACTGAGTTGCCCTCCGATGCTTTCCTAGATGGGGCATAAAAACTTTATTCGGCGGGCTCTGCATTTCTTTCTCGGCCAGCTGTGGTCTTCTTAGTTATAATCTTTTGGAGGGTGAGGGGTAAAGTGCTTTTGCCCGGCCTCTGGAAGGTTCACCCCTCCCCTTTGAAGTATTTCCAGGGCCTCGAGATCTAATCATTATTTGTAAAAAGCAGTAGCAGGAGTCAAGTGGAATTCAAGTTCAAACAGACAATGAACATAGTGTAAAATATGCTTGCAGGGTGGGGAAGTGCGGTCCGCACAATTACAAGTGCGGCTGCTGGCTGGGCTGTGCGGACCACACAATTTGATCTTGCGGCCGCAGAACTTGGACTGCGGTCTACTCAATTATTAGTGCGACCGTAGAACCAGAGTGTGGTCTGCACTTTTATTATTGCGGCCACACATCAAATATCCTAAAATTGCCAACTCTCTGATGACAGAGATTAGGCTGTTTTGCGGCCGCACTCACTTTTTTGCGGCCGCGGTAGAATTTCTGCGATCTGCAGATTCGTGCTTGACCAATGCCCTTAATCTCCACTTCTGCAGACCGCACAATTTCTTTTGCGGGCAACAGAATTCAAAACTTTAACGAATAGAGTTCTTAGGGTTTTCAATTTTAGCACAAATTCGACATGGTATTAACAATTAAACTTGAACATCAATTCACCTATCCCCCAGATAGCAATTATGCGTTTACCCACAACATTGTTCAAATAGATTCATAGACAGTTGGTTCAAAATTTTACTAGAAATCTAAAAATTTAAAGAACTTAATCAAGATTATGATGCTTACCAGAGATGAAAGAATGCAAGAGATGAGTGATCAACATATGTTAGGCTTGTGAGCAACAACTTTAACAAGAGATTTCAATTTTTAGGACTTTGAGAGATCAGAGAGGGAAAAAATTGTACAGTGACCCTAGGCCTCCTATTTATACGAAATGGGTCTGGCTAAGGGATAAGAGGACGAGTATGGCCGTAGAATTCCTCCTGCGGTCCATACTCTGTTACTTGGGGCTCAAAAGCTTTTGCTAGTCTTCGGTCCACACAATTTGTGGTGTGACAACAGATTTCTGATGTGGACCACATATTTTGATGTGCGGCCGCACTTTGGCCATTTCTATAACAAATCAAACTTCAGAGAGTTTACATTTTCCTTTTTCAATTTGTGTTCCTTTTCCAATTTGTGTGGTCCGCACTGCAATTGTGCGGCCGCATTTCCATTTTGCTATTAGCAATCACAACTGTGCGGTCCGCAAAATATACATACAGCCCAGACTTCTTTCCATGCTTAGCTAATTTTTTGAGCACAGTTCCTGTAAAGCACCCTCATCCCTACAACACACTTCAACTTTAGTTAGCACAAAAATAACACCGATCTAAAAAAGAAGAAAAAAAAAGAAAAAGAAACATGGGTTGCCTCCTAAGAAGCGCCTGATTTAATGTCGCGGCACGACGCAGACTACTATCACTTGAAATGAATCGCCGCCACAACATGGCCATCACCCACTTTTCCTAAATAATGCTTCACCCGGTGACCAGTTACTCGAAACACCTCATTATTTTTGTTCTCCAAGTCCAATTCACCAAAGGGTGTCACACCCACAACTTCAAACGGACCATTCCATTTAGGCTTTAACTTTTCAAGAAACATCCTCAAGCATGAATTGAACAACAATACAAGATCACCCTCTTTGAACTCTCTGTGCCAAATGTAATTATCATGAAGATATTTCATCTTCTCTTTGTATAAGGACGAACTTGTGTAGACATGGTGCCGGAACTCATCCAACCCATTCAAATGTGCCACCCTCAAGTTGGCGGCGACATCCCAATCAAGATTCAACTTATTTAGAGCCTATATGGCTTTGTACTCAAGTTCCACCAGAAGATATAAGCTTTTCCAAGCACCAACCGGTATGGAGACATTCCTGTAAGTTGCTCGGTAAGCCCATAAAGCATCATCAAGTTTCTTGGACCAATCCATCCAGTTAGCATTCACTGTTTTGGACAAAATACACTTTATCTCTTGGTTGAAGACTTCTACTTGGCCTCTTGCTTGTAGATGATAGGAAGTCATGATTTTATGTGTGACACCATAATTGATGAGTAAGGTATCAAAATATTTGTTGCAAAAATATGACCCCCAACCACTTATGATAGCCCGCAGAGTACCAAACCTTGTGAAAATATTCTTCTTCAAAAACACCACCACACTTCTTGCCTCATTGTTCGGTAGAGCAATAACATCAACCCATTTAGACACATAATCAACCGCGACCAAGATGTAGGTGTTTCCACAAGAACTCACAAAAGGACCTATGAAGTCAATACCCCACACATCGAAAATATCAATCTCCAAAATGGTGGTAAGGGGCATTTCATTTTTCTTTGATATTCCAACTCTTTGACATTCATCACAACACTTGACTAGATCACTTGTATCCTTGTAAAGAGTGGTCCAATAGAAACCACAACTTAGAACTTTGGCCTCCGTTCTTGCTCTACCATGGTGGCCCCCATATGGTGAAGAATGACAAGCCCCAATTATTTCACCTTGCTCCTCCTCCGGTACACATTTTCCAATCACCCCAACCGTGCAAATACGGAAAAGGTACGGTTCATCCCAATAATAGTCTTGACAATCCTGTTTGAACTTCTTCCTTTGGTTTGAAGAGAACTCAATGGGGATGATACCACTCACAAGAAAATTTGCTAGATATGTGAACCATGGCACCTCTTTCATTGAAATAGCCAAAAATTGTTCATTGGGGAAAGAGCCATTGATTTCAAGGCCATCAAGCGACCTCCCCTCCTCCTCCAAAAGAGACAAGTGGTTCGCCACTTGGTTTTCACTTCTTTTTCGATCTTGGATGTCAATATCAAACTCTTGAAACAAAAGCACCCATCTCATCAATCGGGCTTTGGAATCTTTCTTACTCATAAGATAAGAAGTGTCGCATGATCCGTGTGTACAATCACTTTTGCACCCATTAAGTACGGGTGAAACTTCTCAATAGCAAATACAATGACAAGGAGCTCTTTCTACGTAACAGTATAGTTAACTTAGGCACTATTCATGGTCTTACTGTCATAGTAGACCAGATGAAAAATATTGTTGAGGTGTTGTCCCAAAACAGCCCAACTGCTACATCACTTGCATCGCATATGAGCTTAAAAGGAACACTCCAAATTTTGAGCGGTGATAATGGGAGTAGTAGTCTAGTTGAACTTTAGCAATTCAAAATCTCTCATGCAATCAGCATTGAAGTGGAACTTATTATCTTTCTTCAACAACTTGCACAACAGGTTCACCACTTTAGAGAAATCCTTGATGAAACGACGGTAAAACCTCGCGTAGCCTAAGAAACTCCGCACGCCCTTCACTGAAGTTTGAGGTGGAAGTTTAGAAATCACCTCAATCTTTTCCTTATTAACTTCAATGCCATTCTTTGAGATCTTGTGGCCAAGGACAATGCCCTCCTCGACCATGAAATGACATTTCACCTAATTGAGCACCAAATTTGTTTCTTCACATCTTGCTAACACTTTATCCAAGTTTGCGAGACAATCATCAAAAGAATTCCCGACCACCGAGAAGTAATCCATGAAGACTTCAAGGTAATCCTCCACCATGTCTGTGTGATCGCCATCATACACCTTTGAAAATTCGTCGGTGCAGTGCACAACCCAAATGGCATCCGCTTAAAGGTGAAAGTACCATAAGGACATGTAAATGTAGTTGTCTCTTGATCCTCTGGAGCAATAATAATTTGGTTGTAGCCGAAATACCCATCAAGAAAACAATAGAAAGCACGGCTGGCCAATCTATCAAGCATTTGATCTACGAAGGAAAGTGGAAAATGTTCCTTCCTTGTGACTTTGTTGAGCTTACGATAGTCCATACACACTCTCCACCCGATAACCATTCTTGTAGGAATGAACTCATTCTTGTCATTGGTGACCACTATCATGCCCCCCCTTTTTAGGACACACTAAACCAGAGAAGTCTACGAACTATCGGAAATGGAGTAGACAACCTCGACATCCAACCACTTGATGATCTCCTTTTTGACAACCTCCTGCATGACTTCATTGAGTCTCTTTTGATGTTCAATGGATGGTTTGGCGTCTTCCTCCAAATTAATCTTGTGCATGAAAAATGCAGGGCTTATCCCCTGAATATCCGCCAATATCCATCCAATAGCCTTCTTCCTCTTCTGTAGTGCCGCTAATGTAGAATCTACCTGCACATTAGTCAAATAAGAGGAAAGAATAACTGGTAAAGTAGATGAAGGGCCAAGAAATTCATACCAAAGATGTGGAGGCAATGGCTTCAACTCCAAGATAGGAGGCTCTTCAATTGAAGGCTTTGTAGGAGAAGTTGTCCTATTTTCAAGATCCATTGACAATTTGCGGGGTTCATAAGTGTACGACCGCATTCCTTGCAAATAGTTCACCCATTCCACGAAGCTATCTATCTCGTTATCATCAAGGTTGAGTAAGACGGCCTCCAATGTATCATGAACGTTTATCACAACACTTGTTTCATCCACAATCACATCGGTCACCAAGTCCAGGAAAGAACACACCTCATTGCTATTGGGTTACCTCATGGACTTACACACATGGAAAACCACTTTTTCATTACCAATCCAAAAGGTAAGTTCTTTATCTTCCACATTAATAAGAGCCTTCCCCGTAGCAAGGAAAGGTCTACCAAGAATAATTGGCACCTCACAATCAAGAATGAAAAAATCTGCCGGGAGAATGAAATTATCAACACGAACCAAAACATCCTCAATCACTCCCAAGGGCTCTTCATGGTTCGATCGGCCATTTGCAATCTCATAGAGGTGGGCCTTGGTTGCCCAATTCCCAATGTCTTGAAAACCGAATAGGGCATCAAATATTTACTTGCCCCTAGATCACAAATAGCTTTTGCAAACTCGACATTTCCAATTGTACAAGGAATCATGAAAGCACCGGGATCTTCCAACTTGGGAGCCATTGAATGCATAATTGCACTCATTTGATGAGTGACTTTGATAGTTTCAAAATTCATTGACCGCTTCTTTGTCACCAAATCCTTCATAAACTTTGTATAACTGGGAATTTGCTCCAAAACTTCAACCAACGACACATTGATCGATCGTCTCTTCATCATGTCAATGAACTTTTTGAATTGATTCTCACCATTTTTCTTGGCAAGCTTTTGAGGATATGGAGGAGGAGGCTTAGTTAATGGTGCCTTAGCCTTTTGCACTACCGGTTCCAATATATCAACAACGTGATCCCTAGAGTGGTTCACTTCCTCTTGAGTTTCTTACACATTGTCATCAATATCAATCCGCACTTCATCATTTACCTGAACAACATTGTTCAGGGTCTCATCTTCTTGTTCCACTTTCTCATCATCCACAAGTTTCCTTTGACTAGAGGTGGGTGCATTCGCACCTTTTCCACTCCTTGTAGTAGCGGCCATGACATGTCCCGTGTTGTTCCCACCCTTTGGGTTCACCATCGTGTCACTTGTAGTTCCCCCTTAGGATGAGTATTTAGAGCTTGAGAGATTTGCTCCATTTGAACTTCCAAGTTATGGATAGATGTATTGTGGGAGGCAAGTTGGGCATCAGAATCAACATTTTTCTCCATCATTTGCTTGAATATATTCTCAATACACCCCATTTCATTGTTGCAAGAACTGGGACCACAGGAATGATAAGGAGGCGGGTTGCTCGGTTGTTGAAATCGGGGGCCTTTGAAAGCTCGACCCCTGGTTGCCTTGATTATTATTCCATCCCCCTTGATTTTTGCCTCCCCAATATCCTTGGTTTTTTCCTCCACTCCAATTTCCTTGATTGTTGTTATTATGCCAATTTCCTTAATTGTTGCCACCACTCCAATTACCTTGGTTGTTAGAATTCCAATTACCTTAATTACTTTGAGATCGCCATTGTTGTTGATTCGGGCCTTGAGAGTTGTTTCTTTGCCCTTGAAAATTGTTCATATTGCACTTTCTCCTCTTGTTCATTGTAAGATTCATCTTGATCAAATCCACTATCTTCTTGTACATAATTCTCCATTCGGTTTTGCACTTGTGGACCCTTGGACCTTCTTTTGTTCATTATCATGTTTACTCCCTCCAAGGCACTTGTTGAAGTTGAGCCTTTGTTAATTGATTCATCATGGTGGTCAGCTCGGCAATGGCTTGCCCATAATCATGCAACCTTTATGGAGGTGAATCACATTTGGATCACCTTGAGGAATATTTGCCCGACTTTGCCATGCCAATGAGGTATCCGCCATTTCATCTAAAATCTCACAAGCTTCTGTATATGGTGTTGTCATGAAATTTCCACTAGAAAGTTGATTTACCACGCATTGATTGGTCCTATTGATCTCCCGATAGAAAGTTTGTTGAATTATTTCGTCATGTCATTATTGGGTCACTCTTTGACCATTGTCCTATACCGCTACCATATCTCATGTAACGACTCATTGGACTCTTGTTTGAATGCTAGAATCTCGTCTCTAAGAGTCGTCATATGCCCGAAAGAAAAGAATTTGGAAATAAATTTCTCCACCAACTCATCCCATGTATGGATGGAATGGTTTGGCAATCTCTCCAACCAATCTAAGGCTTTTCCTCGAAGAGAGAAAGGAAATAGCCTTAACCTTAAAGCATCCTCAGAGACATTTGTCTGTTTACTCCCCAAACAAGTGTCCACAAACCCCTTCAAGTGTTTGTATGCATTTTAACTCAGAGCCTTGAAGAATCCTCGTTCTCTAGCAAAGTGAGCATTACATTTGTGATTTGAAAGTTGCCCTCCCTAATGCGAGGCGGGACTATAGCACTTGCATACCCTTCATTCGGTAGCACCCAGTGTGGAGGCGCTCTTGGTGGAGGTAGGGGTGGAATTGGGACGTTGTCTTCAGGCACCCGACCTCTTCTATTTTCTTGAGGTTCAAGAGGAACCTCATCAACTTGGTCATCATCAAAGTCCACATCCCCCAAAGGCATGTTTCCGAGTTGATCATTGTTGTTTGCCATTGTGGTACCTATAATTGATTCACAAAAATAGTAGCACAGAAGGAAAAGAAGACAATCCATACATAAAACCAAATATATAGCTAAATCTATTTTTAGCTCCCTGACAATGGTGCCAAAAATCTATCTCGTCCAAATTCACACCTCAAATCAAGGTTATGAAATGGTCGATTGCAATAGTAATAACCAACAAGGAGTCGAGGTCAAATTCCACAAGGAGCTATACGTGGGAGTTAGGAGTATATATTGTAGTGTATGAGTTTGAACTATCTCAATTTACACTTCCACAAATTGGGGATTGTTTCCATGTCTATTTTAAACTAAGATTGCAAAATTAAGAATTGAAACTAGGAAATTGTTTTTTGTTGTTTTTCAAGGATATAAAAAGGCCTAGGGCTATGACCATAACCTAGGTGTTTGCCTAATGGGATAAAGACTTTTACACTCGTTTTATTGACTAGGGTGTATTATAGCTCACAACACTATGTTTCTCACTCAATACCTCTTGGTCAGAGAGTGATTTTGCCTAATTTGGCTTTGTCAAGATCAAATGGGTATCTACCAAAACGGTTGATAAGAGCTCAAGTCGGGTTGTTACTATTTCTAGGTTGAACCCTTTAATTGGGTTAGTCAATTTCTCAATAGACCCAATTCCTTGTTAGCTAGGTTAACCTAGACTATGTCCCTCTTTCTCAAGAAGAGACTAAGTGAAATAGGCATGAATTAATGTTTGCAGCCACTAGTTCCACAAATAAAGCATAAACCAAGCTAAATAACACACACCCATTCATAAACAACCATAAACTTAATCACCTATAAGGTTTACATACTAGGGTTGGGTCACAATCCTAGTAAAAATCTAGCTACTCATGCTTGAAATAGAAGAAATAGAAGAAAAAATGTTAATTAAACTCATATCGCAAAATTAAAATGATAAAATCTATGTTAAAATATCTCAAAATATGAAAAACTACTAAAATAAGTAAAGAGAAACGACAACTGTAGCTGTTGATGTCAAAAGTTAACCTAAAAATGTGAAACTCGTTGTGAGCACGTGATTTTTGCCTTACGAAAACTACTCCAAAATAAATCAAAAAATAAAATAAATTTCTTTTACTGTGTAATTCTTGAATTTGCGTGGTGTTAAATATTTGTGTTATGTCCGTAAATGTTTACTTTGTCATAATAAAATGAAAATTAAAATAAAATACATGTTGCATGCATATAGGATTTAATTATGTATTTGAAAGATAATTTAAATAAAATCACCAAAATATGCATTTCGTTCTATTTTTTATATTCCACTGTGTGATTAATGTTTTATCTGTATGTTGAATAGTTGTTATGAAGTGATTAATATTTTTGTGTAAGGTTAAAAATTGTTTTATAATTTTTGTTAGGATTTTTTAATGATAAATAATAAAATAGAATAAAAAAAATAAAACATCCCCCTGTCCGGTCCAATCCGAACAAGCCTAAACGATGCCGCATGAGATACCTCAAATCTGAGCCGTTGATTCATTGCAATCAAACGGTCTAGTTCAGCTTCTGCATAAATGAAACGACAACGTTTAAGGGCAATTAGATCTGAACCGTTCATCCATCTTGATCCCACGGTCTTAAAAACTCA